TATTGTAAAATAATTTTTTTATATGGTGCACACCGGGTGAAGGATCAGTTGTGTAACATCGACGGTTCCTCCTGTTGGTTGCACTCAAATAAAAAAAAAAATTTTTTTGTTGCGAAATCAATCCATAAAAGTCCGAAGGCTAAAAATCATAGATATAAATTTTGACCCATTATTAATCTTTAAATGTGTGCGAAAAAAACGGATCTGTAATTTGAATGAGTGCTGTCAAGGAAAATTTGTCATCAGGCTTTCAATTATATTTTGTGTCCAGCCTGTTTCTGTGGGTGCCGTCCAAATGATAAGAAAAAAATCCCTTTTGTTATAGTGAAGTAATTCTATAAGAAAAATCCCTCCACCCAAAAATACAAAGCATTTTATAATTCGTGTTCAACGGTTACAACAATTTATGTTGTATAATTGTACATAAATAAAAAGATCCATATATAAATTATACATTTATAATGTATTCATTATTTAAATCTTTACCGTACGTATACTATCGATGCGTAAATATATTCGGCTAAAAAAAACCAATAACGATAAATGGAATCAACTACTCTATTTCCACAAATAGCAAATATCATTCACCAAAATGACTGTCTCAATGAGATGATTCCAACAACCAAAATCAAAAGACATCGACATGTATACAATTTTGATATTTTCAAAATTGGTTAAATCAATGCATAAATTAAAGCACAAAACTTGGAAATCTTGTTTAGTGGTTTTGGGCCCATTGGAATCGTCTCATCAAAATGGTTGAAACGGACGTACGTACGATTACTTGAGTGCTACCAAAGGAAAATCTAGCTAAAAAATAAATCATTATAGATATATATATATATTATCGTTATACGTATATATATATTTTTATATTACTGTACATTGAACTTTATAATTAAAAAAATAACCTAGCTTATTTTATAGCACATGCTACAATAATATGCCGTTTACATTTTTGATGTTTTCCGGCATACTTTTTTTTATAACACCAATTAAGTCAGCTGATTTTTTGGAAATTGACTTCGGTATATGGAGAAAACCACTGTTTGACACATATCAACGGATTTGCGGATAAAATAATTTATGTAAAAAGAAGATATTGTACCATTATTGTTAACTATATACTCCTTAAAATTACGTACGTACGTACATATACGTAAAATTAAATAGAATCATATATTTTTAGTCACTAAAATTTAGGATACATTTTACAAACCAATTCCGCAAATCCGCTGATAATCTTGTCTGGTTAATGCTGTAACGGTAATGCTATTAACTTGTGTTACCATTAAATGCGTATTTCTAAACGTAAATTGATACGTATTGACTATTTTATTTTTAAAAGAAATGCTATTGTATCATTAAAAGAAATGCTATTAACTTGTGTTAACATTAAATGTGTATTTCTAAACGTAAATTGATATTGACAATTTTATTTTTAAAAGAAATGCTATTGTATCATTGAAAGAAATGCTATTAACTTGTGTTATGTTACGGGGTGAATCGTCGGTTTAATTTAGTTTATACACGAAAATATAGAATTTATATGATAAGGCAACTCGCCAAAGGCGTGACGATGGTGATTTGACAATAATTTATTTTATTAGATGAGTTTGACCGGGTGTTGTATTAAATGTATTATAAAGAGATTATTAGAATCTCATAGGATGATGTCTTTCGAGAAGGGCGAAATGCTAGAGTTTTTATAGCTTTAGCGAATATAGAGGATTCAAGGGCTTAGGGTGACTCATATATTACATCATTAATGAATTTAAGAAAACTAGTTCTAAGGTAAGGGCTTACAATAATAAATTGAATATTATTATCATAAAAGAAAGGCTTTGCTTTGCTCAATACAATTATTCACTTTTACAGCCACTTCAGCTATATCTAAATCTTGATACTCGGTCATCTTTTATTTCTTCTTTCATGTTTCTTGTTTTTCGAATTTCACATTGGTTATTGTTTTGTCTTTATTCGGCCGATAAGCCTCAACTGATAAACTAGTATTTCTTGGATCCATTGCTTCAATCACGGGTTTGCTGTGCCTAATTTTTTTTTGTAGATCCTTCATTTTAGCCCGTGACATTCGCCCAACCTATGCATACCAGGCATAAATTATTATAATAAATACTTAATAAATTAATAACATTAATAATATTTAAACACAAACTAAAAGAATAAAGTAAAGACAAAAAAAATTCTTATTCTGGTATATCATTCTTAAAAGGCCACGCCATATTCCTGGCTATTAGAAAGACATTGGTTCACTCACAACGAGTTTCAAACTCTCATCTTTTTAATCAATAGATAAGCATTCTAACTCATTTGTCTACATCAGAATAATTACTAATTTTGAAAATCTAACTTCTTAAGTTTGTAATTTGTACAACTTGATAATCCAATAGGAGAATTCTTTAAAATCTTATTTTACGAGATCAAAAAAAAAAATTAACTTTAGTGATAATGCCTTAAAAGTTTAAAAAGCAACATGGTCATCCTAAAAGACAAAGGTATAAGTTAATTGTATATATACAAAAAATAAAAATAAAAATAAAATTAATAAAATAATAGATTATAATATATAGTAAAAAGATTGATAAAGGAAAACAAAAAGAAGTTATTGATGAAGTACAACAAAAAGATAAAGAATTACAAATATTATCAAATAAGTTTATGCAATTAAAACAAATTGCAAAAATACAATCAGACAAATTTCAAGAACAAGAACAAAAGAGAAAAGACCAAATAGATTATTTAACTAAATTATTATATATTGAAGAAAAAGATAAGTATAAAATAGCAGAAATAGAAGATTCTATGTATAATACTATTAGATATTTCAGAAAAGAATCAGCTAAAAAATCAGAAAAACTTCAAAAATTAAAACAACAATTAAAACAATGTGAAGAAGATCAAGAAATCAAAGAAGCAGGAGAAAAATTTTGAAAAAAATGAGAAGAATGGTATTCCACAAATTGAAAACTAGAAAATTCAACTAATGAATTAAGAGTTGAATTAACTAAAGAAAAACAAAATTTACAAGTAAAGTTAAAAAAAATAAAAAAATTAGAGAAAGAAATAGTAACATTAAAAGAAGAACAAAAGGATTAAAAAATGAATTACAATGGTAAGAATAATGGTTTTAACTTATCAATATTATAATTAAGTATTAACTTAAGAAATTAGGAGAGGTTGGTGGATTGACCACATAGAAAAAGAAAACAAAAATCTTCAAGAAAAATGTGAAATGTATGAAGAAAGTGAATACAGTTGAGGAGAAGTTTCTGATAATAAATCTGATTGAGAAGAACAAGATATTAGTATTACAAAAAATCCTGATATAGGAGTAAGTAATAATACTGTTAATGAAGATGAAGATAGTATGCGAACAATTGGATGAGATGAATATGCAATGGAGGTAAAAGAAATATCAATTGAATTTGAAGTTGAAGAAAATAAAGATAAAGATAATCTTGAATACTTAAATAAAATCGCTTATAGAGAATGAGAACAAGAACAAGATAAAGATTATAGTAGTACAGAGGATATCAAAGATGAAATCTAAATGAATTTTGAAGAAACAGATGAAAGTAATAGATCTGAGATTTTTTGGTTCGAAAGAAAAGAGAAAGATTATCGTCAAATAGAGACAGAAGCTCATGATAAAGCTTTGATAAAATTATTAGACGAAGAAGATTCCTTTTAGTTTCATTATATATATATAAGATCTATTTTTTTATAAGAGGGTTTTATTCCAATTTTTAAAGTTTTGTTTCAACGACGGTGTTATATGATGGCTGTGATCGTATAAGTATAGATAAAAAAAATAGTATTCCTTGATCATATGAGTGTTTTGTGATTTTTCAATCGTTATTTATTAGATGCTTGTTGATCAACTTGGTAAGATAAGGTATGTTAATAAGTAATGTTAGGTATCTTGATCCCGCTAACAATACAAAGGTATGTCCTGTTCTTGGTTGTATTTATTAAGCTTCGTGGCTACAATGTCAGTACAAGGACCCTTCGTTAAAATAAGTAAAACTCCTATCGTATTGTGAAACCGATTCTCTTTTTAGTTATCTTTCTCCATATTAAGATTATTAAATAGTTGCAGTGCAAAGTAGCATGTAGGCAGTTATAGATGACTTGTAATAGCCATATTAGAAATTCATATAACTGTAATGGATAGAGCTTGAATCGATAACTAATAGATTTATGTTTGGTATATCACATATCAGCTCTTATATTCTAATGCGAAATTGCGAATTTTGCTTCTAGCAAAGATGGCTATCTTTTCTTTTCATATCAATAATGACTGAGTAAAAACTTAGATCTTATTGCTACTGGGATCCACAGGTTAGGCTATCTTCGTATTAGTTATAAAAGCTTCAAAAAAAAATTTTAGCTATAACCTTTATATACTACTTCTCTGTTTTATGTGATTCTTCCAGAATCACATAGCATATTACTTCATATTATAATGAAGATTTAAAAGTTCTTAGTATAATAATATTGAACACTATCTTTGACCAAGAAATCTGTATCCACTATATCATGTTCGAATGTATAAACTTCAACCTTATTAATACCAGCTTCTTTTGAACTAACTCCTGTTTTGTTCAGATAACAAAGAACTATATTAATATTAATATCAAAAATTGCACGTAAATTTAACAAGCCTGTAGTAGTATTAACATCAGAAAGGAAGGACAAATTGTATATTTCTATTCGTATTCCTAATCATTCTATAGCTGCTATAATATTGACACTTCCTGCTTCTCATTTAGATGCTTGATAAATAAGAATATTTGTAGGCAGGAACTTTTGTAGAATTAACTAAATTCTCTATACTATCTAATAATGAATACATTGAAGCTTTGATTGCAATATTTGTTTTAGCTTCTGCTATGAACTGATTTATCAACATTGGTTGAGATTAAGGTTCCTTCGATTCTATCCTAAATACCTTCTATTATCACAACTTGCTTTGTTTCAAATATTTGTTTTGTATTTTCAGTATTTAATTTCTTTTGCTTTTAGAAGCTTCTTTTTTTTTTTTTAATATTAAAGTTTATTTATAACATCATAGCATATTGTTACAATAAAATGGTAATTTTAACTAATTTATGTCCTTTTTCATTCTCTGCCCCTTCTCAAATTCCTTATCTAGAATAGTATAGTTTTATTAATTTTCTATTTATAGATATTTTTATTATATTCTCTTTGACGGTACGTAGCTTATATATACCCTTTTGAAGCACCCTATGGATGACAAAAGGTTCCTTCTACTTTGGATGGAGTTTATGACTTTTAGAATATTGTTGGGACACCTTATATACTAATACTTGGTCTTCTTTTTTTAATTCTTTTAGATATGATAATCGATGATCATGCTTTTTTTTAGCAATCTCTTGGGCTTTTTTGATTCGTCTAACAGCGTCGTTTCTTATTTGAGGTAATACTTCGATTAATTTGAAGAGTCTGTGTATAAATGTCCCTTTTAACAACTCTTTGTTTTCATCAGAATAAATCAGAAATCTAGCCTTCCTTCTATACACCAAGAAGAATAGAGTTATTTTCATCGTACTTTGTTTGGCGGTTCGGTAAATGAAAAGTACTAAAAATATTAATGTGTTTCATTCTCTTACGTTGGTCATAAGTTTAAATATAGACTCACAAAGCATTTTATTAAAATGCTCTATTAATCTATTTGTTTGTGGATAATAGGATATCGAATAATAGTAGTTTATGGTGAATTTTTTTAGAAATTCATCTATTAATTTATTACGAAAATATGTTCTCCTATCCGAAAGTAGATATTGTGGACATCTGTGACAATATACGATATCTTAATACATGAAGTCTGCCACTTCTTAAACATTGGTATTCTTGATTGCTCTAGTCTCAGGCTACTTCGTCATATAGTCTGTAGCAACTACAATATATCTATTTCCCTTCGGAGTTACAAGTAGTGGCCTAATGATATCTATACCAATTTTATAGAATGAGGCTTCGACCGGTATGGGATATAATAGAGGTCTTGCTAAATTCTTGCTTCTTCTTTGATAGGTATCACAAGTATGGATGAGCCTTCGAATATCAGCATACATTTGTGGCCAATAATATTTCACCTTGATTTTGTTAAACATTATATCGATCCTGAAGTGTTCTCCTAACGGGTAAGTATAGATTAAGAATAGGATCAGTTCAACTTTGTAATTTTAGATAACCCTTAATAGATGATTACTTTTATGCTTATCCTTCTTATATATTAGACCATTTTTTATTTCAAAGAATTGACTCTGGGTTTAGATACTTTGTCATTTTTGAGAAGTTATTGATCTTGGTATTA